CCCCTCCTCCCTCCTCGCTGTTGCCTTACAACTTAACGCTCCTCTTTTCTCTCCTTGCATCCTCCCTCGCCCCTGTATCATCGGTGCTCTTCCTTCCTCCCATTATTTCTTCCATCTATCCGCTGCCCGCTAACATTATCATTGTCCTCCTCCTTCTCCTCCTCCTCCGCCTTCCGCTCCGGGCATGCCCAGCATAGTACCGCCGCGTGGCGCCCAGTCACACCTCCTTGGTATTCGTGGGATCCTGGGTGTTCGAGTTCACGGGATCGTCCAATGGAGCGTCGTCTGGGTACATCATGAAAGGCACGCACACCCCGTACTTGTTGTACCTGCCCAAGGATCCGGAACTCGGACAAAATGGGGGCGGTCGGTGTTCCTGCATCTTCTGCCTCCAGTGGGCCCTGGGGCAGTCAAAAAACGACACAGAATGAAAACCGGCCATATCCCCCTCCCACTCCTCCTCCTCCTCCTCCTCCTCCTCATCTGGGGTGCCTCTTGGGTCTTTCTGGGGCCTCTCTTGGGCCATCTTGGGGCCTCGTTGGGGGCTTCGTGGGCCGTCTTGGCTAGGCCGCACTGGGCGCAGTTGAAACGGAGATGAATGTGCCAAACATGCACTCATGTTTATTCTGAGGGAATGGGACGATGCTGGCCTCTTACGGCCCTCCTGAACCTCCCGGGGGACCTCTTGGGGCACTCTTGAGGCCATCCTGAAAGGTCTTGGAGCGCTCTTGGGTTGTCTTTGAGGCCTCTTGTTTGGACGCCCGAAGTGGGTACGATGAACATGGGAACGATGCCCAACAACCAATGCTGTCCAACACCGACAACGGCCGCTGTTCGCTGTTGGGTAGGCGGCTTTCTGCTTCACGCGGACAACGACCGCGGCGACGCCGACAGCGAACACTGCTCACAGTGAACCAGAACTAGTGCTGTTCTTTCCGTACCCGTTTCTTTCGTACCGATATTAACCCGCCTGGAGACCATCGTTGGAGGCCTCCTAGATGGGGTCCGAGTAGATGGGGTTGGAGGATCGCGCCACATCGGCGATACATCGGCAATGCATCGGCGATGCATCGGAGATGCACCGGCGGTGCACCGGCGATGCATCGGCGTCGTCGGCGATGCATCGGCGACGTCGGCGTCGAGAAAATCAGGATCCACATCGAGCCGCATCGGCAATGCATCGGCGATGCGGCGCGATCCTCCGACCTCGTCTACTCGACCCCATCTAGGATACCTAGAAGCGTGGGGTGCTCCTGGAGCGCTCTCGGCGGTGGAGGAAAGCCCCACCCCAATGCCCGAGAACGACTGGCCAAGGGCCCCCAGGGCACCCTTCGGGGGGGGGGGTGGCAGTTGTCACTGAGCGCTGACAAGTGGAAGGGGGCCAGCACTCCGACCTCCTATAGCCATGCATATAGATTTATACATATACAGATAGCTATATGTTTGTGTGAATCTGTATGTCTATATCTGGAATTCGCTAGGCATACGTACAAAAACAAGAGTGGTAGAGGGGGAGACAAGACAGAGGTGGAGCGTGAATCTGTATACACACATACACGTACTTACATACAAAGGAAAATAATGACAGAGAGAGCGGGTCAAGAAAAGATGTGGGAGCAGCGAGGAGGGAGCGGAGTATGAGAGATGGGACAAGGGCAACGGGGGAGGAGAGATGGAAACGGGCAGAGGAGACGCCCCCTTCTTCCTCAGCTCACTTTCTCTATCTCTCCCTCCCCCTCTACGTATACGTAACTGTATGTGCATGTATACATGTATAGATACGTATACCGACTTATATATATATATGTGTGTGTGCATGCATGTGCATATGTACACGTATCCCTCCTCCGTTCCCTCCTCGCACGCCTACCCGTGATCCACTTCGTCCACGGAGGGGGAAGGGCACCCTGTCGGCGACGTGTGCGTCAGGATGCCGTTCAGCACCGGCAGGTAGAACAGGAAGAACGGGAACGACAGCGCCGAGTAGAAGATCCTCGTCCAGTAAATGGCCACTCTGAAGTCGTAGGTGAAGTAATGGTCAAGGGGCAGACAAAGGCGCAGGGAAGCGGAAGGTGGGGAGAAAGGGCCGAGGGAGGGGAGAGGGAAGGGGAATGAGGAGGACGAGCAGGAGAAACCGACGTGAGGAAGGAGGGCCGGCGAAAGCCGGGATGAGCTGAGCGTTGTGTATTTTCGGCGATGACGGGCGTCATGGGGGGGGATGTGCGGGGGGGGGGGGATGACGTAATCTCCCCCCCAGCCGTGTGGCTCCGGCAACACAGCCGCGCCCTCGCGCAAGACGACGATGAACGACGAGCGACGAATGACGACGACGACGCGAGCCGCGAGCAGCATGTACGTGGCGAACTGCCCCACAGAGCACGTGTGCACCACAATGCTTGCGTGCACCACAGCGCGCGTGTACACGACAGCGGACGCGTACACCGCAACAGCCGTGTACAACGCAGCGCCGGTGTTCACCACAATGCTTGCGTGCACCACAGCGCTGGTGTACACCACATCGATCGTGTACACCGCAGCAACCATGTGCAACACAACGCATGTGTACACCACAATGTTCGCGTGCACCGCAGCGCCCGTGCACATCACATCGCCTGTCTACACCACAACATTCGCGTGCAACGCAACGCTGGTGTACACCACGCTGGTGTACACCACAGCGCCTGCGTGCGCAGGACAGGCAGAAGGTGCTTGTCGGCGAGGGTCTGTCGCGGACAGTTCAACGCCACGCCACGGAAATGTGGACAATAAAATGCGACGGTCTGCCCTCCTCTTCCTCCGCCACCTATTCCTCCTCCTCCTCCTGCTCCTGTTTTTCCTTCTTCTCTTCCTCCTCCTCCTCCTCCTCCTCCTCCCTCACCCTTCCCCCCTGTCGTGCGGATCGGCGCTACAACGCACGTGCGAATCACAGCGTGCACTGCAGAATGGTCTTTTGAATCATTCCGGTTGGTTCTCGGACGGCCAACCTTGCTGGAGCATCCTGGGCGGACCTGGGAGGACTCGTACATTCCAACGGCGCTCATTTTTCCATAACGATTCCGTTCCAAATCCTATAAAAAACAATTCTTTTCTGTGGAATCCAGAGGCACTCCATTCTGTCGTAAGGATTCCATTTATAACTCTATGTGCAACAGTGGTGCTCTCTTGCGCACGGTTCTCTGGTGCACACAGGCGCCGTGGTGTACACAGGCGTTGTAGTGCACGCAGACATTGTAGTGTACACTGGTGCTGTGTTGCACACGGCTGATGTGGTGTACGCAGGCACTGCGATGTACACCAGCGCTGTGGTGCCGGCAGGCACTGTGGCACACACTGGCGCTGTGTTGCACGCGGCTGCTGTGGTGTACATAGGCGGTGTGGTGTACATAGGCGCTGTGGTGCACGCAGGCACTGTGGTGTACACAGGCGCTGTGGTGCAGATCGCCACGTACATGCTGCTGCTACCCGTCCTCGGTCATTCTTAGGCAGACCCAGACGCCACCGGAGAGAAACGTGACGTCATCGGCCCTCTCCATCCCCACACCCCCGAACGATTGCTGCCATCGGCCTGGAATCAAAAAACGGGCTCCAGCCGCGTCCGCGCGCACGGCGACGATGAGCGACGAGCGACGAGCGACGAGACGACGACGACGACAACTTACCAGACTTCTATGCGGATTCCTATGCGGACACCGCCGGCGGACACCTGTGCGGATCCCGATGCGCACGGCGGCAGTGCCCGGAACGCACTGGGAGGGGAGCATTACGTCATGGGGGGGGGGGCGGGGGCCTTGACGTCCGCCATGCCCCAAGCAATAAAGAAACACTCCCCTGTGGAGAAGTGCGAGGAGGAGCGAGGAGAGGGGGGCAGGGAAGGCGGGGTGGAGGAGGACGGAAAAGGGGCGGGAGGAGGCCCGCAAAGTAACTACTCGCAAATGGCCCGGATCCGCCGCGGTGCACTATTACGATACACTCCATAGAGGAAGACCTGTTTGCGAGTAGGTTCTTTGCGAGTGGTGGAACGCGCTCGGTAAGTTAAGCAACGGGGCCGAGGAGGGGTCGGAAGCTAAATCCGTGGGTGCTAAAATCGACCTCCGGGAAGTTGTCTTCGTCCTTCCGGGAAGAAGCCCGTTGACTGTTTCGCGTGCCGCGCCTCATTCCGGGAAGTTGTTTTTTTCCTTCCGGGAGGGCCGTTTGAGCAGCCACGGTTTTAGCAGCCCTCGCCCAGCTTTCGAAGGGGGGAGGCCAGGCCAGGGCGGGCAGGCGCCCCCCTCAGGCAGCACCGCCTCCACGGCAGCTCACGCTGCCCGTTGCAGTCGTCCGTCTCGCTGTAACTATAGTTGCCTCGTCCTCCTCAAGCTCCTTCTCAAGATGGTCATCATGGTCAAAAACATCATCATCATCAGCAGCATCATCATCAGCAGCAGCATCAGCATCAGCATCAGCATCATCATCATCATCATCATCATCATCATCATCATCATCATCATCATCATCATCATCATCATAATCATCATCAGCATCATCATCATCATCATCATCAGCATCATCATCATCATAATCAGCATCAGCATCATCATCATCAGCAGCAGCATCATCATCAGCATCAGCATCATCATCATCATCATCATCATCATCATCATCATCTGCATCTGCATCTTCATCTGCATCCTCATCATCATGATCAGTATCATAATCATCACCATCACCACCATCATCACCATCACCATCACCATCACAATCACCATCACCATCACCATCACCATCACCATCATCATCATCATCATCATCAGCAGCATCATCATTATCAGCATCAGGATCATCATCCTCATCCTCATCCTCAACCGCATCATCCCCATCCTCATCCTCATCATCACCAGCGTCCCTCATCCCTCACATCACATCAGCCATCCGTCCTCCTCATCCTCTTGCGCCCCCCCTTCCTGCCATCTTCCCCTCCCCTTCTAAGCTGCATCTCTGTTTCCATCATCCCTCTCCTGCTCCTGGGCGCCATTTCCCCTATCTCCTGCTCCTGGGCGCCCTTCCCTCGACACGCAACGCATGAGCCCTGGCGGGAGGAACGCTCCGCCTCGCATACGCCTCTGCGTCCCTCGGTATAGCCCTGCAGCTCTTCCCGGACTTTGTGGTGATCGGCCTCCATCTCCTCCTGGGGACAAGGGACCTGACCAGTACCAAAAACCGTCAGCTCGATGAGGATCGAGAATCGAGGAGCGAAGGTTCGGGGATCCAGACTTTGAGGAGGTTCTGGCATATTCTTGGCCTCCTCTTCACTACGGCTGGATCTGCATCGAAATTCTTGCCAGAACGCACCCCAGGAAGCGTCCGTGTTTGAGGCCAGACTTGGGTGCGCATGTAATTACACACTGCCTGGCCCGGAGCCGATGCCAACCAAGATGAGGGCTCGCAATGAGCCTGCTGGACGACTGGCGGTGCTGGTCAAGGTGACTGTCCCGAAGCTCCCCGGGTTTCAGGTGCAGGATCTGTATGAGAGTAAGCAGGACGAAGAACAGACCGCTAAGGATGAAGCATACCCGCCGACCCCTTCGGGATCACCGTAAGCACGCGGGGTCCCCTCAGGGACGCACTGACTCCCGGATCAACACGAGCCAGGGCCCCGTCACGAAGCCCGGCCGGCCACTCAGGAGCTCCGAAACCCAGGCAAACGGAGGGCAGCAAAGGGGGAGCCCGCCCCAAAGTGGCTCCCAACCCCAGGCCGGCCAGAGGGGATTTGCTGGCACCCGATAGCGCAGACCCCCGGTAGGTTCGGGATCCACCAAAAGGGGGGGGTCGACCCTGGGGGGGGGGGGCATGAGTTCTGTCCGCTGGTGCACCGAGCTGCCCCAAACAGATGCCGCATGTCCCTCCTGTCGGCAACTATGGGGAGTTGCCGGCGGCTGGGGGGGCATCTGTTTTGGGCGGTTCGGTGCAGAAACGATCGAACTCACACACACACAGACAACCTGGGGCACACACACCCCCTTTGCGGGATCCCGGAACGTGGCGACCTCCGAACCCTTCTCCTGCATCGATGGTAGGCCGGGTTGGGGCTCGGATGTTGCAGCGTGTTCGACGAATTCTGGACGCTACCACCCCCGCCCATCGAGTTTGAAGGGGCCCCAGGACACACAAATAAATACACACAAATAAAAATATTCCCAATATTTTTCCATATTTTCTGGGTTTTTGTCTTCCCCCCCACTTCCCATATTTTCCCATATTTTCTGGGGAATCGACGATTAATTGTGTCTGTGTGTTTTTTCCCCTCCTGAGAGTTGCCTGAATCGCTGATTCGCGACAGCAGGGTTCGGATTTCGCCGCCGAACCCGGTCCCCCCCCACCGAGCCCCCATGAGTCAGCACGGAGTTCGGGGGGTGCTGTTCCCGGAGCTTCAGCCCACGGCACTTCAAACTCCGGGGACACCAGAAGGTACCGATACCGCTACTCCTAGGGAGCCCATAAAGGACGTACGCGCCCAGCTATGTACATGAACACGGCCCCTCGATCCGCGAGACCTGCCGCGTTATGCGACCATTTGCGCAATGCGTACTCTCGAAACCAGCTTGGATTCATGTACATGTACGTCCTTTTTTCGCTCCTGAACTCCCTGGCAGTCTCTCAGGGTGCGTTCTGACAAAGATTTCGGGGCGAATCCAGCGGTGGCGACCAGGGCCTCCTGCGAGGCCAGAACAATGGAAAACGGTCGAACGGTAGCGGCATGGTTACCCTTTCCTCCTCCGAAGCTCGGCCCCCCAGCAAGCCAAGCTGACACCTTCGCGCTGCGCGTGAAGCCCACTGGCCGATCTGACGCGTGAGCGGACACGGCGCTAGCCGGCAGGATCAGATCGTACCGCAGCAGGCCTCGCATCCGGCCGCCACGGTGCTCCACGTAGTCGCACCTGCAGCATCCTTGGCCCTCCAGCGCCTCTGCGGGGCGACACAGAGAAGCCATGGAGATCGCAAGTCGCATGCGCACCCCGCCATCCTCCTCCACTGTCTCACGATTGGCGTAGTCCCCGCCCCTCTCCCCCTCTCCTCGTCACCATCCTCTCTCATCCCCCGCTCCTCACTCCCCCTTCCCGCCTGCTCCCTCCTCCCTCGCCCCCGCCGCCCTCCTCCCTCCCTATCGCCCCCCCTCAGACCCCTCCGCCCGGGCTCCGGGCCGGGCACCCGGGCGCTCCGACACCCGGACACCCCAGGAGTCGACCCCGCGGGCGCGGGCACGCACGGCCGGGCACCCGGCCGCCCACACACCCCGGGCCCCCAGGCCCCGGGCCGGGCCCGGGCACCCAGGCACCCCGGGCACCCCGGGCACCCGGGCACCGGGGCACCCGGGCAGGCACCCGGGCACCCGGACACCCGGGCACCCGAGTACACGGGCCCGGGTCCGGTAAAATAGTCAGATGCCCTCCGCTCCCCCATCACCCCCGTCGTCTTCCCGCCTCCGTCACTGTTGCCCTCCCTCCTGGTCCTGATGATGATCCCTCGCCCCTCCTCCTCCTCCTCCTCCTCCTCCTCCTCCTCCTCCTCCTCCTCCTCTCCTCCCTCATCCTCATCCTCATCCTCATCCTCCATCCTCCTCCCTCCTCCTCCTCCTCCTCCTCCTCATCCTCCTCCTCATCCTCCTCCCTCCTCCTCCTCCTCCCTCCTCTCCTCCTCCTCCTCCTCCTCCTCCTCCTCCTCCTCCTCCTCCTCCTCCTCCTCCTCCTCCTCTCCTCATCATCATCATCATCATCATCATCATCATCATCATCATCATCATCATCCTCATCCTCATCCTCATCCTCATCCTCATCCTCATCCTCATCCTCATCCTCGTTAACATCCTCCTCCGCCTACTCTTCCTCTTCTTATTCTTAGTATTAGCATGATTCGTTATCTTATTAATAATAGTATGATTACTGGTTCGTAGCATTATTACGAGTAGTCCTAAAATATGTAAGACGCCTAGTTGTGTGCAACTTGGTATTATTAATATTGGTATTCATGATTGCACGTTATGCTTGTTGTTATACTTATGGGCTGTCGCACTCTTGGTACTACTAGAACCAGTATTACTAATCGCATTCGTATTTTAATATTAGTCTAGGTTCGTTTTCTCCTTGTTCCTCTTGCTAATATTATGTTCGTAGTAGTATTACTATTGTTATCAACCGCCTTCGTTTTACAACCATTATTGTGATCAGTATTGTTCGTCTTCGACTTTTCCAGAATATTACATTCGTATTATCCTGCTTCTGCGTATGATAACTTGTTTTATTCCCCCTCGTCCTCCTCCTCCTCCTGCTCCTCCTCCTGCTCTTCCTCCTCTTTCTCCCCCTCATGCTCCTCCTCCTCCTCCTTCTGCTCCTCCTCGTCCTCCTCCTCCTCCTCGTCGTCATCCTCCTTCTTCTTCTTCTTCTTCTTCTTCTTCTTCTTCTTATTATTATTATTATTATTCTTTTCCTCCTCCTCCTTTTCCTCCTCCTCCTCCTCTTCCTCCTCCTCCTCCTCCTGCTCCTCCTCTTGCTCCTCCTCCCCCTCCCCCCCTCCTCCCCCTCCTCTCCTCCTCCTCCCCCCGCCCCCGAATTCCTCAAACCCCAGGTCTCCGCGGCTTGCAAACCAACGCCGCTGGTGCTTCCGCGCCGCCCCCTGGCCGCGCGGCCCCCCAGAGGCTTCAGCACACCGCCGCCCGGCGTCGAAGCCCGTCTGCGCGTGCGGGGGCCCGCGTGCTCCCACAGATGCTCAGTGCACCTTCGGCGGCACGCCACCCGGGGCCGGCGGCTTTCCCCTGTGCCGCCTCGGGCAAGTGTTCTGAGCCAGGCGCTGGACTCCGCCCGCTCTGCTGCAGGGAGCCCTGCGGCAGCGCCCGCTCACGCTGAAGAGGCGCCCTGTCGTGTTGCTGGTCCTCTCCGTGTGCGTCAAGAGCCTGTTGCTGATATGTGTATGACGGCAGCTCCTCCGGTCGAAGCTCCTCCAGCCCCGCCCCCGGTGACGACGTGCAGGCTCGTGGTCGGCCTCGCGTCTTTCATGAGCCAGGCGCCGATGAGCCTCCTTCTTTTCCCCATGCTCCTCCTGCGGGAAACGAGCATGCAATGACTGTTGTTTGTCGTGGGTTTCTCTGGCAGCGAGGCCCAGGCCAAGACCGATGGCACCATTGCGGGGTTGATGCACGGCGTCGCGCTGCGCATGCCTGGTGCGGCCCGCCCTCCCTGGAACGCCGCGCCTGCGTGAGAGCAGGCCGTAGCGAAACACCAGCATCGGCACTGACCAGCGCCGTGTACAACCAAAACCTGACAGCAAGAATCCACAATAAGAAAGCAAGTTCTTTGAACGCCCGCGTCGAAGCTTTTCGAGCGGGGTTTTCCAACGGGGCTGGCCATCGAAAGTGTCTGGATACAAAAAAATGATCGAAATGCCAGGTAACCGCGTCTTCGTGTGGTGTCGACCCCGGCGTTTTTTCCTCAAGCCACAAAGGTCCTTCAACCTTGACAGATCGGCCGCTTCCGAAACGTCCGACCGCTCACCGATTCTGATTCGCCGGCGGCGTTCAACGCTGAAGGCCTGCGGGGTCGCCGCTGGTCCACGCGATGCGAACCTACCATACCTGTTGGAGGGCGAGCCATCCTCATCATCGATTCGACTGCAGGGCGCCTCGTTCGCCGCTCTCTTCGGCCCCCCCCCTCGCCATCGCCCGGACGCCCAGTCCCGTGCAGTTGTTCGACTTCCTGCGTTTCTTGTTCCGAGAGGTGGTCCAAGATGCTCCTCCCAGGTAATCGCCGAGATTATTCTCGGCCAGACCGTGGGGCAAATAAGAAAATGCGGGCCTTCTAAAAAGGCTCGGGAGCCCCCCTGGCCCTCCGGGAAATTCCGCGCGCCTTCCCAGAAGACGCAAAAAGACCTCCCAGAAGGCCGGAGGTCTTCTGAGGAGCACCGCCGCCCCCTGACAGGGCCTTTCCACGTTCGCTCCCCCCGTCGCCCGCCGCCGATCAAACACGCGCGCGCCCGAGCCCCCCGCCCCCCCCCCCCTTCCGCGCGGGCGGGCGCAGGCCGCGGGAGGCCCACGGGTCCACCGAAATGGCGCTGCCGATGCTTTCGCGCCAGATGGGCTGCGGAATGCACGCCCGTTTCCACGAAGTTGGCCTCAAATCTGCGCCGCGCCAGTCCCGCCGCCTACGCCGCCTGCCCCCGCCCCGCCACATGCTACCCATCACCTCAGCGCACCGTCGATTCCGCCGCGCCTGCAGGAACATGGATCGCGAAGCCACGCGTGGAAAACGCAATTGGGCATTGCGGTCTGGCCTCGCCGTCAGTCTCGCGTCCGCCGTTGTCAGCGGACCCAGGGCTGGCGCTTCCGAGCCGCTCTGCTGGCTCAAGCCTCTCTTCCTGCAACGAACTGTCCGAAGTGCCTCGGCTAGTCCGTCGTCGCTAAATGGGCGCAACGGCCCGCTTACGCAGCCTGCGGCAGCCTACGCTGCAGGAGAACTTCGCGAGCCTCTCTGGCATCACCGGGCTTCGCCAGCGCCCCTGCTTCGTTGTCGTCCGCGCGGAGCATCCCCGACTCCAGGCGCTTCTGCTCGCGCCGCTGCTGCCGGAGCCAACGACCTGACTCGATGCGTCTCATCTTGTCGGGGCCCTTCCGTCACGCGACGCGCAGCGCGCTTCTGCAATCGCCTGCCAGGACAAGCGTCGCGTCCTCGCGCCAATCGCTTTTCAGCGAGGTCGAGCGCCCCCGCTGCTCCGGATCCGAGCGCGCGCAGCTCGATCCGCCGAGCCCAGGGCCGCGCCGCCGCGGCGCCGTGCCCGAGACAGCACCCTCCACTCGCGGTACATCAGATCGCCGCCGCTGACTGAGATCACGTCGTCCTCGTTGTCTGCCCAGTCTGCGCCCGCGCTGCGCTGTGCGACCTGCCTGCGCCGTCCGCCTGGTTTCAACGCCAATTCCACGCCCTTCGCCCCTGCCGGGTACCTTGCCATCTTCGTCTGCCTACGCTGGCCCCGCTGAGTCGGCGCCGCCATGCCGCGGCAAAGCGATCCACCCCCGCGTTGCTCCCGCGCGCGCCGTGGCCAACTGCGCTCGGGAACTCGCCGTTGCCCCTCTGCTTGGCCCAGTTGATCGCCTCCGGGGCGACTGAGGGTCGCGCTGTCTGTAACCCAGGATCCAGTAGCACGTCGACGATCAGCGACGTCTTGCCCTCGATGTTATGGCCGCCCTCGATCTGGCGGACCTGCGCGCCCAGGAAGTCGCCCTCGTCGCCTGCGATGCGCAGCTTAAGCGCGCCCGATCAGCTGCAGGTCACCGTTGGCATGCTGGTCCGCTCACATCCGGCCCTCGCGTTGCTGATCATGGAACCATCCTTCGCCGCGAAGATGCAACCTGGCTCCAGATTGAACTCGGCGGTCGCCGGCTGCTGCGCGATGGGCGCGACCCTTCCCGGCGTCGCCTGTCCCTGGGGCCCAGGTGCCCCGATCTGGATGGCCGAGAGCTCTGCGGTTGACACCGCCGCACAGCGAAGCATCCGCTAGCGCTGCGACCTCATTGTTGACCGAACTGCCTTGGCTGGTCCGTTCCCCGCCTTTGCCTCTGCGCCCCCCGCGACCACGTCCGCCGGGCCCTGTCTTGCCGACCGCCCGGACAAGGCGCCGGCAGCCCCTTGCGTCGCGGCCCCTGCGCCCGCATTGTTAACACTTTGGTATGGTGTCCGTCTGGTTCGTCTTCCCACTTGTCCTGCGCCCTGTCGATCCACCTTTGCGTCCATCGCCCTTGCCGCACATGCCGCCGTCGCCTCTGCCTCCGCGGCGCCAGTTTCCGCCCGGGCCGCAGGCCCGAGTAAGCGCGTCGACCTCCATGGCACTGGGACCTGTTGGAAGTCTAGGTGGAGGGGGGGTCTCTGGCACCCGTCGCCGTAGATCGTCGCCGCCTGCAGATGCTGGATGGCGGTCGGCGCGCGCGCGCGTCGCAGGTCCGCTCGCTTGCTATCTGGAGCATCGTCCTCATGTGCTTGTGCGCCTTCTGAAAGTAGATGCCTTCCTTCGCGCCAACGTCGAAGACTTTGCCTGAAGCCCTATCATGCTGCATAATGGCGCTTTCCTTTCGCGCGCGAACCTCCTCGAATCCCCCACGGGCATGCGGGAACTGCTGCGGGTTCAGCATGCTGATCATTACGCTCTGGGCCCGAACCGCCGTAGCAAGTCCGCACCTCTTGCAAGGCGCTCTCCAAGCTGCGGCGCCGCTTTGTCGTTCAACTCCTGGCGCGATCATCTGAACATTGCTTCTCACGGGCATTCCGAAGCTGATGAAGATCTCATGGTCTGTCGCGGCACCTTCATCGCCCAGCGAATTCTGGGCCTGCTTCGCCGATTTCCAAGCGCGGTCCTGAAATCCTCGGCCGCCTTCTGCAGGCGCCAAGATGCCTGCGTCTGCCGTTCGAGGAAGACTCACATAGCGAAGGACCGTTCCTGCCAGTGCTCCTCGAGTCCGCCGGGCGGCTTGAGGCCGCCTCCCTGCCACTCGACGCCTGCCGCCAGTGCTGCAGTCTACATGCTAACTCCGCCCCGTTACCTACCGAGCGCCCTCGGCTTACCGGCTGTACCCGAAGCCCTTATGGCGGGTTTCGCCTGGCATCCCTGTGCCGTTGTACAATCTGCCGTGGATCGCCCGCGATGGCGCCGCTACGCGCGCGCGCGCGGGAAGGCCAGCGCCGCCGGGGGGCGCTAGCTGGAACTGGTCTCCACCAGCTCCGCTACCATGATGCTCCTCGTGCCAAAAAGGCTGCGGAATGCGAGCGCAGTTCCACAATCAAGATCGCACGTCTGCAACGCACAACTCTCACCAATCCACCTGCTACGCTGCATGCCCCGACCCTCTTACACGCAACACACTTCCTCATCAGCTTTGGCGACTTCGCGGGCCGCTCTCGTTTCGCACTTGATCTGCAGCAAAGGCGGACTGATGACAAAACGGGGGGAAACCTAGAACAACACGAACACACGAACAGACAGCGAAACAAAAAAAACAAACATCCCAAGACAGTGTGCGAACATCTTGCTTGTCCAGGTCGCCCCCCGCAGGGGCCCACGCTGGCTGTGCGCGCAGAGTGCGCCTCGGCCGCCCCGCGCACTCGGGGCGGGAGGCCCCCGCTGTCTGAGCGTGCGGAGGGCACCTGCGGGCGGGCCCCCGCCGGTCCACAGCTCTCGCCGCCCTCCGTCGGCCGTGCCCTCCGCTTCCCTCTCCGTCCCGCCAGGTCCTCCTCATGCGATACGTCCCTCCTCCTCCTCCTCCTCCTCCTCCTCCTCCTCTTTCTCCTCCTCCTCCTCCTCCGCCTCCTCGTCTTCCGCCTCTCTGTCTTGTCCATGTCCTTTCTCCTGCTCTCGCCCCGCTCCTGCTGCAACTCCGCCTCCGCCTCCTTCTCTTCGTCTTCCTCCCCCTCCGCCCCCTTCCGCCATCCCTCCTCCTCCTCCTCATCGCTGAACTCCCGCCTCTGCTTCAGCGTCGGAGCCCTGGGAGTTTTCCCGCTTGGCGATGTCCCTGCCAGGGGGGGGGGGTGCGGATGGGCGCACCTGGACCTTCCCTCCCCCCCTCCCCCCACCCCGCCCTGCCGCGGCTCCTCCCCGGCCGCTGCTCGCCCAAGAAGACGAAACGAATGCACAAACAGAAGTGTTAGCCCGCGTGGACCCCCAACAGGGTGTCTCCAGTAAGTGGTCTGGAGCAATCATGACATGTGTGGTGCACTGTACGTGGTCCAATAGACTTTGTGCAATACCTGCGCTGTACTACATAGAGTAACAAGCGACATGTTGTGCAGTGCATGCTGTGAGATCTGCGTGGTACAGTATATGTGGTTCCATCTATGTTGTACCATCCGTGGTGTGCAAATTGTGTCGTGCAGTCTATGCGGCGACGACGTGGCGGTGGCGCAATTCTCGCGGCGAGGCGGCGACGGCGACAACGCAGCCACCAGACCCACCCGCAGGCCCAGACGACGGGCAAAGACGAGGCGGTGACGGAGCGGCGACGGCAAGCAAGGATACGCAAGACGGACAACCCCCCAAGTCCATAGAACACAAATCTTTCGGTGGCAGCTCATGGGAGCCTCCCATGCCATCTTGTCAGATCTTGCGAATCGACGCAATCCGACGCTCGATAGGCGATATTCGATTGATTTAAAACGTTAATTGATGCGAATCGACGCTAAGTACGGAATTACGATGGTATACAAGGCTCCTATGATTTGCCACCGACAAAATTGCACCCCAAAGTGCAAGTGAGAGGTCGGCGCCGATCCCAAGCCATTCGCACGGAGCTCCGGACATCCAACCTTCTGCCGCTTTAGAGGAGAAGGAGGCGTCGTTACTTGGCAGGGACTCGAGCCATCTAAATTTAAGATTCAGCAAGGAGACGGATAACGGAGAAGAAAAGGGAGGGGGGGAGGCGTGATTACTCGTTGTTCTCCCTCCGTTTCGTTTTCCCCCTCTGATCCCCAACCCCAGGGGCTGTGGAGGGCATGGCCAGCCTACCCTCTTGGGGTCCACTGCGCTCGTGGCAGCCTTCGTTTTCGCTACAGCTTTCTGGATGGAAACAGAATCAGGGGGACGTTTCACAACATCGTTCTTCCCGGCGCCTCAGGGCACACATCTGGAACAACGCGGAGGCGGGACAAATCGAATCGCTGGGGCGACTTCCCCGCTGCCGCCGTGGCGCTCCGCGCTCCGGGGCTGCAGTGAGAAGCCATCTGCAGCAGGCCCAACGCGAGAAACCCGACCCTGAAATCCGCCTCCATCCCCCTCCATCCCTCCACACCTTCTGGGGCCCGCGCGACAGCCCGCCGCTGTCGCAGCGGGCGGGAGGAAGGGGGGAAACGCGCCTCTCCCCGGCGCTCCGCGTGCTGCGCGGCAGCATCCTGGCGGCGAGGATTCGTGGGGGAGGACGGAGGAGGCGGGAGGGAGGAGGCGGGAAGAGCATAGTAGGAGGAGGTGGGAGGAGGAGGAGGCAGGAGGGAGGATGAGGGAGGAGGGCGGAGGAGGGAGAGCGAGGGGAGGGAGAGGATGGCGAGGGCGAGGAGGAGGAGGAGGAGGAAGCGCAGGAAGAAAATGCATGCCTCAATTCACTGTCCGACACCTTGTCTCTCATGTCCTGTGCGACCGTTCTTCCACTCACGGGCGCGTTGCGAGCCGCTGCGCAGAAAGGGAAAATGGCGATGGGCGACGAGGTATTCGGCCTCCAGGGGAGGGATGGGGCGCGGATGCTACATGCTGCATTGGCCTGCCTCCTAGGAGGCAGGTCCGAAGAAGAGGAGGACGAGGAGGAAGAAGAGCCCGCCCGAAGAGCAGCTGTGTGGGTGGAGGCGGGGGAGGAGGACGACAAAACACGTCCTCCAAAGTTCGAGGAGGAGACTGACTCACGAGTAGAGAAGATGAAAAAGAGATGATGACGACGATGATGATGATGCTGATGATGATGATGATGATGATGATGATGACGATGATGATGATGATGATGATGATGATGATGATGATGATGATGATGATGATGATGGCGATGATGATGATGATGATGATGCTGATGATGATGATGATGATGATGATGCTGATGCTGGTGATGATGATGATGCTGGTGATGATGCTGGTGACCATGATAAAGAGGATGATAATGAGGGATGATGGCGGTGATGATGATGATGCTGATGATGATGATGATGATGATGATGATGATGATGATGATGATGAGAATGATGATGCTCATGATGATGAGGATGATGATGATGATGCTGATGATGATTATGCTGATGATGATGATGATGATGATGTTGATGATGATGATGATGCTGATGAGGTTGATGATGATGCTGATGATGGCGATGATGATGACGAGGAGGAGGGGGAGGAGAGGAGGAGGAGGAGGAGAAGGAGGAGGAGGATAGGACCAGTCAAAGCCTGGCGCACAAACGATGTTGTAGTAAACCCTCCCTCCAAGCTCCATCTTTTCACACGTGCGAAATAACTTCCACTGCTGGGAATGCCCAATGGGAAGATATCCGTGCGAGAAGTCTCCGCCGTGCCAAAGCACCTCTCCTTGGACTTCAGCGCCGCAAATCAACGACTGCTGCGTCCTGATGATCCTGCACCGTGGCAGAGCATCATTCCTGCGACATCAACACCACGAATCAACGTAACTGTTAGGCCCGAACAGTCCTAAATCGTGCTGGAGCACCAGCTCTGGGATGTCAGCCACAAGAACCCGTTGAAGTGATGTAGACTTGCCTGAGAAATCTGCACGGCGCTAAGACGAGAACCACAGTTTGAAAACGCCCAACCCTCTATCTCGGAAGCTCTTACACCATATTACAAATAATGTGCGCGGCGCTGCTGCGAGGGCCACATTTTGAGAACGGCCCATCCTCCATCCGTCAAGCTGCTGCGACACTATGATAAGAGGGTTGTGTGCGGCGCTGGGACGAGAGCCACATTCTGAAAAGGAGCCGCCCTCCATCTGTGAAACTGTTGCGAACTTTCGAATAATTGTGCGTAACGCCAAGGCGAGAAACACATGCTGGACACGACCCATCCTCCATCCAAGAACCCCTTGCAAACTTTTACAGCGAATGTGCGCGGAGCGAAGGCAAGCCACATCATGTAACCGAGCCGCCCTCCATCTAGGACGCCCTTTCACACTATTTCAACGAATATGCGCGGCACTAAACGGGAGCCACAATTTGAAGAGGAACCGCCCTCAATCTGTGAAATACTTGCAAAGTTGTAAGGGGATTGTGCGCAACGCGAAGGCGAGAACCACATGTTGGAAACGACCCACCCTCCATCCGTGAAGCCCTCGCAATCTGGTTTGACGAATGTGCGAGGCGTGAATGGGGACAACCACCTTTTGAAAAGGATCGTCCCTCCATCCGTGAAACTGTTGCAAACTAGGCCGACGAATGTGCGCGGCGCTGAGGCGAGAACCACACTGTTACACACGACCCGCCCTTCATCCGCGAGACTCACGCTCCCTTTTTCAACGAATGTGCGCGCCTCTGGGGCGAGGGCCGCATTTTGTAAACTACCTGCCCTCCTCATCATCGTGTTCATTATCATTGTTTCACCCTCTCCCCGTCACCTGCCCCTCAACCTCTTCCTCCTGTTCCCTACAACGCCACTTCTCCTCCCCCTTGTCCATTTCCCCCTCTCCCTGTCCCGAACCCTCCGCATCCTTCTCCTCCTCATCCTCCTCTATCTCCACGGCGCTCTCCATCCTCCCTCTGCTCGCCCTCGAACTCGAAGCACGCAGACTTGCCGCAACCGACGGGTCCAGAAGACGAACCAGACGAGTATACAGCTCCCGAAGATGTCGACGAGCGCGCTGATCTCGTTATGAGCAGCGGCTGGCCCATTAGTCTCGCAGGTGTGATGCTCATCCTTGTGAACGCACAGGAAATACTTGACCGCGACGTAGATCGCCATGCAAACTCCGCTGGAGACAAACTGGCAACCTCCGGGGTTGCTGCCACTCCTC